ACACACTGACTATTCTATAGTCTACTCACTTTTTGAGTACACAAAACTATGATTCGGTTCAAAACTAATATCAGATTCAGAATCAGCGTTAAAAACTGAGTCGATTTATATATGTTGTGAATAATTCTGAGAAAAAAATTTTTTTTTTGAAAAAATCCCTGTACCCCACCTCAGGGATGGTCTGGTCAAAAATCACAATTTTTTCGATAACTCAGCCATTTCTTGGCGGATCCTTTTCATCTTCGAACTCGACCGAGATATTGTCAAGACTAAACTGTGTAGAAAATTTCATCGCAATCTGACTCTCCTTTCGAAAGTTATCGTGTAAACGGACGGACGGACGGACGGACACACAGACCGATTTTAGTAGTGTACTCACTTTTTGAGTACACTAAAAACAACTTCCGAGAAGAAGAGAAAAATGTGAAGTTTCCATATTCTTCTATATCAACTGTTCAACATAACGTCTTATAAATGTATACAAGGAAATGGAATATTATATTTGATACGATTAATTATCGATTACATGTACAAATTCATAAGTAGTAATTAATCAAAAATAGTGTTAAAAATAATCAACAATAGCAACAAATGAAATATCCTCTGTTATCAACATCCAATTCGTATTTTTTGTTCATCTTTCTAAATTGAGAACAAATAATTGAATTGAATTCTTTTTCAATTCTAATTAAATTATTAAAAAAGAATCATTATCTACTTCGAAAGAACGATTATATCAAAACCTAATATCATAAAACACTTGAAAACTAAACAAAGATTCTTCATTCTATTTGATAAGTAAATACTTCAAATGTCGTGAATATAACAATCACTTTGTTTTTTTGTTAATCTTGAATATCATATAGGTGTTTTCATTAGTTTATCTAATCTAAAGCCAGTCTTAATTTGTAGTTTTTTTTGTTACCTGTTGCATTAGTGAAAACAGAAATTTCTAATCTTTAGTAAGTTGAAGCTACTAACTATATGCAAATTCTTATAGATTTATTTTCTTTTCAGATATTTTTCGTTTAGTACAAATATTCTTTGAAATATAATTATAAATATTTGAGAAAAAATTAAAGCAATCATTTCATTTACACTGAAGTGATTTTGACTGGATTTACATATACACTTGTTATATTTTTCTGATGCTCAAGATGATAACCACCAGTTGTACCTCCAATGGCTGGTGTAATTCGATGTTTTCGACCAAGTATTAAACAAAAAAATTTGATTAATTCTTTACGAAATGTACGAGATGTGAGTGTGTATAGATAAAAGGATGTAACTGGAAATAAATAAAGCATTAATTCTGCTAGAAAACTAAGAAATGATCCAATAGCTAAGTTTTCACTTGATCGATTAGGAAGCGTGATTGAGATTGTAATAAACACTAGATTACATAATTGAGGAGTTGTGAATATAATATAACATACAATTTGCACGAATAATATATGAAGAACTTGTTGATCAAGTGAATTTCGTTGGTGATCACCTAAAGAAAGTTGTGTTCGTTTTTTGTGTCTGTATGCAAGATGTT